TTCATTAGGGACAGTAACAGTTTGAAGTAGTTTAAACTGAAGTTTAAAATGAACATAAGAAAGCACTTAACAAAAATATGCACGGAATTGCCTCTTAAAACTAGAGACTAACTTAACCTTTGAATCAATTTTCTTTTTTTATAACTAAATCATATAACCTGTGCAGATTATTATAATCTGTTTTTTTCCTTCTTCTAGCTTGTAGAGACTTCATTAAAAGGAGAAATTGCCTTTGATCCCAGAAGCGCCTATTACTTATGGTTTGTGATGGATTTTTGTGACGGAGGAGATATGAATGAGTATCTGTTATCCAGAAAGCCCAATCGTAAAACTAACACCAGCTTTATGCTTCAACTGAGCAGTGCCCTGGCTTTCTTGCATAAAAACCAGATCATCCACCGAGATCTTAAGCCTGACAACATCCTGATTTCTCAAAGCAGGTTGGATACCAGTGACTTGGAACCCACACTGAAAGTGGCTGATTTTGGTCTAAGTAAAGTTTGTTCAGCCTCTGGGCAGAACCCGGAAGAACCTGTCAGTGTAAACAAGTGTTTCCTTTCTACAGCATGTGGAACAGATTTCTACATGGCTCCTGAAGTGTGGGAAGGACATTATACAGCAAAAGCTGACATCTTTGCTCTTGGGATTATCATCTGGGCAATGCTAGAAAGGATCACATTCATAGACACAGAGACAAAGAAGGAACTCCTGGGGAGCTACGTAAAACAAGGAACTGAGATCGTGCCTGTTGGGGAAGCTCTTCTGGAAAATCCCAAAATGGAACTTCTTATTCCTGTGAAGAAAAAGTCTATGAATGGCCGAATGAAACAACTGATTAAGGAAATGCTGGCTGCCAACCCTCAGGATCGTCCAGATGCTTTTGAACTAGAACTCAGATTAGTACAAATTGCATTTAAAGATAGCAGCTGGGAAACGTGACACATATTATTTGCAAATATAAATATCTTGGATGATATGCTGCTTCTGTTTTAACAGTGATGCAACATTATGTGGCTGAAAAAAGAATATAAAAAGCTAAACTCCACCTTCTAAGGGTTTAGATTTTACTGTGGGGTGGTTATTCCTCATTTTTCTTAAATCCAAGTTGGCCATTTTATTAGTATGTTTCAAATGTATATTACCAATGTGGGTGTAAATTTTTTTTTAAATGATCATTGGTAGAAGTTTGGCAGGAAAATTCTCTAAGAGCCAAGAAAAGAAGAGGTCCAGTTTTCTGGGAATATGTCTCTAAGTATTTTAGACATTCCTCATCAGTATTAGGAATTTCCATGGAAGAAGAGGTTTGCATGCTGGTAATGCAACCTTTGAAACTTTGTAAAGGAAACATATATGTATATATTTATGTATATGTAAGTACGTGAATGTGTGCATTTTGCATTCCATATGAAGAAAATGCCACTTCTGTTTAAATTATTTAATGTAGGTTCAGGTTTTTGAGGTTTGCTGGTGAAATCAGTTATGAAAAATAAAAGAACCTTCCCTCATTTTTCTACCCTGTCCCTCCCTCTAATTAAATCATATTAATTTTTTTCTATTTTTATAAAGTTATACAGCGCTTAAAAAAAAAGCATCATTTAGGAGGGTCTAAAATTATCTGATTGAACATAGGTGAAACTAAGTAATCCAAAGCTGCTGAAGTATGTTTGAGCTCTCCGGTGCCCTATAGCTGCAAGAGTTGAATTAGTCACACAATCATATGGTAGCAGGTTGGCAAGGACATTGGTGATTCAGTCAGACTTTGTTTAGGTAACTGGGCATTTATTTAACCAATTAAACCACTGCATTGGGACATACCTGCACTTGAACTTTTATAATCTGATATAAATCTGAACATAGGATACTTAACGTTTCTGAAAACTTGCTATATATGAACTATAATACTTGATATATTAATCTTTGGTTTCAAGACTTTGTTGTCTGTGCCTCAGCATAAAGTTGAAAAACCAAATGAGCTCTACCTTCACGTTGCCTACCCTGATATGGTCTCTTGTTGAATCACTGGAGTTCCTTTCATTTTGGCACTGATACAGTTTTCTCTCGTCTAATTTGAGAAAGTAATGGTAGTGATATGTCTTAAATGTTGATCACCTTTTTCTAAAGTGGGAGATGATATCTAGAGTGTGGCAAATGGGTAAAATACTGTGGCAACAATAACTATTCAAGTAGAAGAGTTACTGATTTTATACAATCATTTGTTATGGTCTGTGTCAAAAACCAATAGACCATTATTTCTCTGGAAGTTAGATTTTTAACTTCATATAGTTGTCTCCAATTTGTTTTCCTGTAAATGCAGATAGTTAAAAGCTAAGGAAAGAATGCTTTTCCAAAGCAAAACATTAACCTTTAAGTTAAATAGACTTTATGCTATATCTAGGTTACTCTTTATAAAGCACTAGAGTCTTTGGTCAAAAATCAAATAAAATAGTATTAGCATATTAAATTATTGATAGTTTCCATAATCTCAGCTTTTTGAATTTCCACAACTGTTGGAATATTGCTATCATCATTTTTCCCCTATTTAAAATGTGTTCAGAGGACAATAGAAAGTAAACATTACCAAAAAATTATAATACCTAAAATTTCTGGCCTATGTATTATTTGGTCTGAAAGTTTATAATTTGGACTGAAAGGTTTTATTGAAATAAAGCCTCTTAAAATGAGAAATCTTATACCCTTACCATCACTTGGAAGCTAATATAAGAATTATTTTAGAAATTAGAGATGGAAATATGCTGGAACCTCATAACAATTGACTCTCTGAATCACCAAATTAGTTTAACATAGATCTTTCTAAAGGAATTGTGTTACTGCGAGTAAGAAAAAGAATCATTATAACGTCTTGTCCATAATGCAGCACTTCAGCAGAGAGTCATAGGTTATGGTATGTC